AGGGACTAACAAGTTTTTAATCCCAGCCCTTGGTCTCAACGTGCCTCACATCTGTAGATGGAGATGGCAATAGCCATTCACGAGCACACAGTGACTCTGCTGAAAAATGGCTGCACAGGCACCGCATCACGAGATGCATCTAATTGATGCTTAGCTGCAGCAAATACCAACACAGCGCTTCTGGCTGTGTCATACTGTGATACAAGTGAAGCTGCAGACACTGAAATAAAAAGAGAACAATCTACCACCCATTTAAGCGGCAGCTGCTCTGGGTGACTGCAGTGCTGCCCAGCAAATTACTGATCAGGCAGAGGCACAACTCCCTGGACTGCGTGTTAATCACCTGCATCCAGAGGGTGAGCACAGAGAGACCCCGCAGTAATGCGGCCTGGGTGCACAGGCTTTAGGCTGTGGTATAAGAAATCTCCCTGCCTACAGCCTGACAGTGTTTCTTCATCGAAGTTATGCCAAACTTGAATAGAAAGGACTGTAAGAGAAGGTAAGCAATACTGAAATGAGAAAGCTAGGTCACGGCAGAAGTGATTTTAGGCAGTTTTCTAAGTATAAAAGGCAGGCTATGCCATTCTCATAGATAACAGTGGGCATAAAAAGAGTAAGAGAGGCCATCTGACAAAAGCACAAAATCATGAAAACTGCCAAACATGCGAGTGCATCAGATGTTAATGATGATCAAACCTTATACAACAGATTCTGGAGAAGTCAGCGCCTTCACCCAGCATATGCCCGCACTCTATGTTGAACTGCAATCGTCTCCTCTGAGATACTCAGCGTAAAATTCACGTGTAATTACAGCAACATTTACAAGCAGGTAGTAAGTGCCGATGGCTGGTTTCTAGTGTCCCCTACAGATCTGTTCAAGGTCCTCACAAGATCGCTTCAGTTCTCGTGGTCCTTCAGAAGCAACACTCACAATATCTTAATATTTGATCAGGATGTGTGCAATTAGTCAATATGGCCTGTTCTACATAGAAAGCAAATCTGTTTTACAGAAAGATACAGACAGTAGCAGAAGAGAGTTCTGAGCTTTAAAAATACAACTACTTATTTCAGAGCTGAACTACAAACCCATTTTCTCTCCCAGATGGTAGCAATTCTGATAGTTCAGCGATATCAACTAGCAGGCCTCAAATACCCAGAACAATCATCTGACATTAGTTCCTTGTGTGTTTGGGATAGTGGTGACAAGACACAGAGTGCTTTCCAACCTGGGCTTAACTAACAGCACCAGCCAACCCTCAGTCAACCAGCAGCAAAGACAGGGTTCTTTAGTTTTAACCAAATATGAACTCCATGAGATGAACATAATTCTGCTTTTTAGGGCAAGACTCCCCATGTTTACCTCGATTGACCACTGTCTCGGCCATGAATGGGACAGCTGAGTTCATCATTAGTCACTGCAGACAAAAACTACCAAACATAAAGCCCAAAACTTTCTTTTTTGAACCCCTACATTAAACTATTCAAGGGCTGAGACAAGCTCTTACTCCGAACGCAGCAGCACAGAGTAAGAAAACAGTAAATTCAGGCCTGAAGTACGGCCATCAACCTGCAGAAAGGACAGGAGTAACACTCTCAGTGAAAGGCAAACAACCGCCACCAGTGATTTACTGATCCTGTTTGGATTCTCGGTACAAAACTGCTTTCAGATTTGTGCAACTGTTTGATGATGCCTGGCAATACTACAGCTGAGGTCACTGAAGTCTCAAGGGTAAAAACACAGAGCAATTTACTGCTTATCTACCTCTCAACACTTTTCCATTGCAGTATCTTTAATGAGAACATCAAAATCAGGGAAGTCTCAGTGCACTGTAAATTTGCTGCTGGTTTACTGGGAAGATCCCAAACTGGGTGTTAAAGATACATCTAATCTTCTAGGAATCACAGCTGGCTTGAAAACCAACGGCAACTAGAAACAAAACCTGCACCCAGAACATTAAAACATTACATACTCTTCAGCCATAGGAATCCACAGCCAGTTCTCCTGGGGATGTGCAGCTTTTTTTTGTTACAATTGACTTTTTTCTCTTTTCTTAAAGGATGCTGATATAAAACCCGTGAGCACGCAAAAATAAACACAAGCAGTTGATTAAACCAAGAAGCAGGGCCTTGTGCCTCTGACTACGCTAGTCAGTCAGCACGCATATTAATTACTCAAATGCTGCTCCCCTTAATATTTTCACATGGTACGGTACCACTTTTATCTTGAGGAACTCATTCACCTTTAACTAGCCCATCCAAGATTGAGGGATGTTCATGAGACAGACTGTAGGGAAGCAGAGATTAGCAAATGCACTTACCTTGGCAGCTACGTTGTTCCTGGTATTCAAGCTAGCTTACCTATCTTTGTGCTAAGTACATCTTAAGAAAAGTCAAATGACAGCTGAGGGTAGCCCTTTCTTTGACAGAGTTGGTCAGTGACTGTACCAAGGACCTTCCTCAGTCAAGTTTTCTATATTCCCACCATGGATCAGCCCAGCCCATGAGATAATGTTAGCATTATCTGTCTCTGATCAGTGGTACAATAAATCATGGCTATTGCACCCTTAGATTCTCTTGGGCACTCTCTTGCGACCATATGGTTTGAGGGTGTATCACTGCCCATAGCAAATTTCCTTAGTAAAATTAAGATCAGGATTTTTTTTTTTTTTTTAGAGTAGATTAATGTTAGAACATACATGACAAAGGATCACTTAATCTAACATACCCAAGTATTCATATTATGCTCACAGTCAGCCCATCTGATTTTACAGGCATAAAAACTTTATGTAACTGAGTGATGCTTGCCCCTGAAGAAGCTGTTTGGCTTTTTAATCTTAATGGTTTGCACTTTTGTCTGAAAGTTGCTGCTATGAAAACTCCTACTCCAGAAGATGATCCCATGGTATCAAGTCAACTTCAGAGAAAGATTTGCATTTCCCTCTTATCAGCCTATGAGGCTAATCTTTTAGATTTCAAAGAATAATGTTACTCCACAAAGACCTGGTCATTGCAGGCAGTCCCTCCTTACCAGAGCGCAGACAGTTCACAGTCAGACAAACCAAACACAGCCAACGTTAGTGGGTCACGACTAGCTGATCCAAGAGCCCTCAAGCTTCTTTCCAAAGTTGGACATGACAGTCTGCGGTTGCAGTGACAGAGTTTCATTGTCCAATTTTCTCCTCCTTGCTTTCCCCAGTATTTCTCTGCCCTGAAAACTGGCTGATCAGAATGAGAGAAGAACTGAAGGATTTTGGGGGCAGGAAAGGGAAACTCTACTATTAAAAAAATTAAAAGGGGAATCTTGCAATCTACTCCACCCCAAGTAGTTTCTTGTTTTCCCAAGGGATTTAGTTCTTTCATACGGCAGGCAGGTTTTAGTACTCTCCCCTCTCCATTGGCAATCCCATCAATTAACATCCATGTAATTTGCTGTCCCGCGTGGCAGTGTCGATCAGACCCTGCCTTGGAACAATTACGGCTCAGTGTAGTTCAGGGGAGTGCTCCTCTTCTTCGGTGGTCTTCACAGGGAATCCTGAAAAGGTGAAGGATGAAGGAGACAGAGAAACATCAAATGGGCTAGGCTGTATTTATGGATTTTAGTAAGTCACAGTTTAAAAATAACCAAGTAGTTTTTTCTGGTGCCTAAATGGCACCCATTCTTTTTGCCTTTTAGAAAGTCTAGCGTATTGTTTTCATAATAGTTATTTGGATAACACAACAGTGATTTAGATTAGTATTTGTTTACACAGCTAAATATGTTGAGTAATGAAACCGAAATGAGCTCTCTGTTTCTGCCACATCTGCAATAGGAACTGGCTTCTTATGGTTGAGTACAAGCCTGCTGCACAGATGTTTCTTGATAAGGTATAAATCAGTGTTAGATGCTGTTTATTGCAGCACTTTTACTACCTTCTTCCCCGAAGGAGGGAATTTTGCCCACACAGCAACCAGATGTGACCTGCAATGGTATGAAATACCATAACAAGTAAAAACAGGCCCCATATTCCATATCAACATCTGCAATGGCTCATGAAGTATTTATCAGACTATTTGAACACTTCTACAGGTCCTAGCATTGTACCACTGCCAGAATTTACTTATTATAACCTGCAATGAAAAAGCCAAGCATCCTGTTAAGTGACTGGTTCCTGAAACAGTAAGAGATCCCATTTTAGTTTGGTTTCCTGCCTTAAAGGGCAAATTTCTGAGCAAGCACTGCTGCTAGAAAGTGAAAAACAGGGAGAGATCAAGGCAGCTGCTTTTCAGGGCATTGCAGGGAAGAGTTTCTTTGATGGTAGCCATGGAACACACTTACCAACCGGTGCCTATGTGAGGAGAACTGAGACAACAGGAGCTCCTCACCTGGGTGAAGGCAGCAGAGCTCAGAGCACCTCACTAAGTGGCTCTGCTCATCTCTGTAGGAGCAGAGAGATCCAACACGAAAGACTCACCAGTAATCCAGGATTTGAAGACAGCCAAGTCTGGCCCCAGAGCCACACTGGCTCCTTCTCTGTAGCAGATAAAATCAATACCCATGGGCTTTGAAGGTAAAACAGCCGAACTTTGCAAGATGTACTTCCTGGAAGGTTTCTTACAGCAAAACCTGACATTTCTTATTTAAAATAGAGGGAGAGATGGGTTTTTCTTCCCTGAGCTTATCTGTGTTTCTGATTTGCTTCACTTGTTACACGGACAGAAGATCCTGTCAATGCAGAAATAATGCCAAGCATTTGCAGTTTAATGGAACCCAGGGACCAATTAACAACATAGAAAACCACCAGGCAGTGTATTTCTTATTGTAACAGGAGGGAAATCTTACATTACTGCCTTTCCCCCTTTTCTTACAATAAAGTGCCAGCGCTTCGTCAATGATTTCTCAGTAGTAATGTTTATTATCTGGTAGTTTTACCATTGCCCACCTATCAATCATTTTCCATGTGCTAGGATTAGTCACAAGCCTCCTCTCTTTACTTGCACCACCCAACCTCCCCCCCAAAACAAAGAAAAGGAAATTTCAACTGTCATTAGGGCTTCCAAGCAGTGATGCTAGAACCTGCCCTCAACCCCAAGTTCTCGAACTGCTGATTCTTCAATAGCTTGATGGATGCGATGCACCTCATCCTGCGTTAAAGTCTTCTCTGGGTGGCGGTAAATGATCCGGTAGCAATGGCTGACCTTCTTTGTCCTACAAAATATAAACCAAAAGAGGACTCATAAATACATTTGCCTGCAAATGTAAATATATAAGGCTTACTTACCCTCTGCATCATTTTTTATTTGCGGTCTGATTTTGTTCTTGTTGCTTGAAAATCACTTTAATGCTAAAATACACAGTCTGGAGAGGGGGGACTGAGCTGAATTTTAATTTTGGCAGAGGACTTTGCTGAAGTCCATCTTATACCTCAACTTATAATGAGGTGTGGCTGCTTCTTAGCAGGGCAAGCAAGCCCACAAGAAGGGCTATGCTAACCCCACAGAACTGCTGCTAACACAACTGCTCTCTCATTCTGGCACTAATGGGGCTACCTCAAGGGAGCACTGCACACACATACCCCCTCAGACCAGTGGGGATGCCATGATGGAACCTCTGCACACTGGAAAGCAATGTTGATAGCTAATGCAGAGCATCTCACAAGCCTGGGGGAGGAGACCAAACACACAGCTACAGAAAGAGTGAAATATTCATTTTTCAATTCAGGTAACTACTTTGCTTTTGCTGGAAATTAGAAACAAGGGCAAAATGCATCTGAAGTATCCATGTGTGGAGAAGGACAGAGATGAAGGGTGAAGGTGGCTGTCTCTCCCAAAGTGAAGCAAGCACCACATGGCAGCTCTCAGGCACTGGCCACATTGCAGCCAAGATGAGGAGTAGCCCAGGAAACTTGGGGTTTGACACAACCACAGGCACATGTGCCAATGTTTCTTATCCCTTGCTGTGCAAAGTAAAAGCCAAAAGAGAACACAAAAAAGGTACAGATGGAATGATGTGGAATAAAAAAGTATTTAAGAGTTGCTGAGTTAGGCAAAGACAAGTTAATGCAAAACCAGGAGCTAACCAGCAAGTTAAATAAGAGAGCAAAAAGTCTTGGTCTCCATCAAAACCAGGCTGGATTACATAGCTCTTGCAAGGGCATCTCTATAATTCTATATTATTACCAATTTTAAATGGAAGTTGTGGCATCTTTTTTATTTTTAGTTTCAACTGGAGTCCACACTGCTTCTCCTTTCAAAGGTAAACACTCACTTCAGTGAAAGAAAGAAAATTGGAGGGGGAAAATAACAGGAAAACAGAGATCAAGTACTAGATAGAAGGATCTGGCAGACTGGCAGAACTCTGGATTTAATGGCACAGAAAGGATTCTCTAGGTCATCTCTCACCTGAAAATTGCTTCATGTTCAAATAGTCATGTTCATTATGACTATTTGATTAAAACTAAGGTTATATGTGCTCATACACAAAGATAACTCTAAATATACTCATTTCAACTTCAAATCCTACTAAAAACTAGAAACAGCCTCAGAATAGCTATTTGATACCAACTTTGTGCCGCCCAACATGAGTTGGAAGCTTGCCCTGCTCCCACTGGCAGTTCATAATAAAAAGGTTATTTCAAATTAAAGCCTCCTTCCTTTTTGTGTGCTCTGAAGATAAAGCAAGTTAAACCTGACTAGCATAGGAAAGGGCAAACTGCATTTCACAAAGTGTTAAGCTGCTGCAGTTAACTGCTAAAAACCAGCCAAGAGCTTTCCCTGGGTACGGGTTAAACGCTGTAGAAAAGTGATTTTTGAGAAAAGAGGGGGAGGTGTAGCTGTGGAGAAAGTGCTGCTCTGCTCTGTTCCTCTGCAAAACAGTTGAGAGGACAGACCTGGGATAAGCAAGTTCGTGGAATAACAAGGGTTTGGCCAGATGCTACACTGCAAGAAAGAGATTTGAATGAGAGATAGGGATAACGAATTAGGGCTCAACAGAAACAATTTTCAAAACCAGGCTGGCAAATACCATTACAGCTGGTAGTATTTTGGCTTTTTACAGCGCTACAGCAACCCGCCTGATCAAGAGCATTTGCAAATTGCTTTGGCTGAAAATATATTTAGAAGATGTACAATTGCAGGCTTGATCATTAAGTTTTGTATAATGCAGGAATATATCCCATGATAGAAAACTCATTACCACCATTTAATGTGATGCAAACACAAATTTGCATAAAGCATTCAGGCTGTGATAGGGCTAGCTACAGCACTGTTTTTCCCTATTGTGGTTAACCAAAGGTAATGATTTTTCTGGACCCACGTGTTTACATATCCCCCTCTCTACCACGTTGAGCAGTTCATTCATGAGGCAAATTAAACAGGTCAGAATAGGACACAACAGTTTCTTGTGAGTGCTGTGGAAAACCTCTGTAGGTGGCATTTAGATCAGGAAAGGGTCAAGGTCTTACAGAGCAGCACTGGATGAGAGTTCTGTTAGCTGAAGTTAAGCATGGCTGCAGGAGAAATAAAACAGGGATCGCATTCGATGCAATTAGTTTTTATTATAGCCAAAAAATGATGTAACTACCAATGTACATGTCTGACTACATGTAACTCCCATGGTTAGTATGTTAGTTTTGTCCCACCCTTTAGCTAGGTTTACCTGCATTTTGTTACTAATTAGAAAGAAGGAGTTTAATGGTTCGATGCTATTTCAATAAAAGACACACTGTAAGTTTCAAAACCTTAAGTATTGTTTTAAGCCAACTTTTCAAGGGAGATGGGGAAGAGTATTTCTTGGCTCTTCTGCCCCTAATACTTACCCCCTTGCTCCCAAATAAAATACTAAGACAATGTCATTAACCACTGCTGTCAGCTGCAACGGGAACAATTATTGTCAGCAAATAGTATGTTTGCTGATTCTCTTTCTTGCTTTCCTTTCGTTCTGCAGAGTCACGGAGTGTTTGCCTACCTTAAAGATGGCTCTGCTAATGCATAATGAACTCTCAGCTGCATACCATGCTGCAGCCTGATGATACAGAAGCAGTAGCTCTCCATCCAGAGCATGAGAAAATTTGAGGCAAAAACCTGAAGTGAAAAAAACAAAAGCTAAACGCTGAGCGCATTGGGCTTTATTTACCTAAACTGCACTGCCAGACAAGTCCATGCAGTTCACAGTCACACGGACTCCTTTCCCATTAGGCTTCAGGTGATCTTAGTGTCACAAGTCTCCTCTGCACCAGCCTGCGGCTTTCAGGTAATGAAATGCAGTGAATACAGTGAAGCACTGCTCAAAGGGAAAAGGAAGACAGGAATTTATTCTGATGCCACAGAAGGAAACACAATACAGTCCATGGACAAACACTGGAGTGACACAATGTCTAATGCTCTTTCATATGTTTTTTGGAGGAAACAGCTTTGCCTCATGATTTCCAGGAACTGGCATATAGCCACCTCCACATGCTAGGGAGCTGCTCACTGCCAGGTCAGATTCACTGCATGGGGGCCAACCTGAAGGTCAGTATTTTGGTACTTCAGCCTGATTTTGAGCACTGCAGAAAATTAAGGTGCCTTACTCTGCCTCTAGTCTAATGAAACAAACACAAAAGCAATCTGACACTGGGACCAGGGCTAAAATGAAAGGGTATGTTAGGCAATAAAAGTTAATACCTATGTGCCAGCTTTCCCTGCATGGAAGTCCACTGAAGGATGTTTAAATACAACTTGGCTACAAAGCTGATCCCAGAAGTTATCAACAGCAAACCACCTAAACACACTGGGGAACCAGTCTCAGTCGTTAGGTAAGACAAAGACACAGGGTCATTTGGTAACCAAAATAAATGCCTAAGAATAAATGCTTGGTACTGGCATTTGTCTCATTCTCATGCAATACTGTAACACGCACAAAAATTTCTTTATCCCGTACTTGAAAAAGAAGATCAAAGGGGCAGTGAGTGGGGAAAACCCCCATTTTAAAACTGCGTTCTACTTTCCATCTGTCTTAAATAAAGCACAAGGGCACAGAGAGTTCTGCAGAGAGGTTACACCTGCTCTTATGTGGTGAGAACAACACAGAAGCAGACATTTTTTCCCTTTTGAACCCTACCCATTCTATGATTTTTCTAGAGAGCTGCATTTACTTTGAGGAACAGAAAAGTAGAGATGACAATCTCCCACAGCATCAAGGACCGAAAGAGAGTACCATCTCTTTTGTACTGAGCAGTGCACTAAGCAGTAGTACTCACCTCTACATCTATATTGCACCTTTCCTACAGAATATTATTTAAAATGAAAGATCTACACACACGGTAGCATAAGTATTTGAGATTATTTTCTCTCTCTTAAGTGACTCATGTTACTGAGGTTCTTTGAGCATCTCCCAGTTCCTGCCATAGCTGTTCATATGCTATATCCCCTCAAAAGATTCATTATGTAATTACCTTACATAAACCTTCACACAGCACTCAATGACCACTACACGCTTCACAGAGATCATGTCATGCTCTGAGTATGCATGGAATGACTTTAAGGAATGTCCTAAAAGGGATGATGATGGGAAGAAACTAAAATACTGTTCCATGTTAGTACCATCATAGCTGCTGAAGCCATGCAAAAAGCACAGCTTAAGTTTCGCTTTGTGGCTCCAGCAGTTCCAGAATAGTTCATGTTGTAAGTGGAAATGGAGGGGAATATTAAACTGCAAGAAGAAGATGATGTAATTACCTTTTCCTTTTTGTTTTATCCATTCAAACCACATCCACCACTATGATAGTAGGCACAACTACTAAATGTCCTACTATAAATTTTAAATCGACAAATAGCACCCTCTGCTAGGAACCACATAATGAAAAATGGCAAAAGGCTTGTGCTATATACCTTGCTGTCAATGGCAAATAATCCATTTACCATGGTGATATGCATGTAGAATATAGCAGTAATTCTCTGAACAAAGGCCTTTCCCAAAGATACACTCTCATCAGCCCTTTCAAATGCTAATACTCCATTTCTCTGGAAAGGTGCATTGTATACAACGGCATATTTCAAAAAATGGACATGTTTTGGTTTAAGGTGATTTTGATGCTAGTGAAAGGCAGTAGATCATCCCCAGAAGAAAGAACTGTTTTAAACCCATAGAATGCAGGGAACAGCCATTTGTATTGCACGTCTTTTCCAGCTGATTCCTGGCTGAGAAGGATGGTTCAGCTTCAAAGATAG